AATGAAGAATAAAAATCAAATTAATGGGCAGTCAGGTTCAGAGAGAGGTCACCAACTTCGTTTAAAATGTTTAGTCATATCAATATTTGGCTCTATATGATACGTCTGCATGCGGAACCAAAAAGCAACAGTTAGAAGAAAGAGATCGTGGCTTGTTTTATTTCCTCATGCATGTCTTTATTTTTATCACTGCAAAAATACTTGTTTTACTTTTATGCATCAAATTTCATCTTTTATCCTCCTTTTCCCCGTTGGCGTACTTTACTTGCTTTTTGTGAGTTTTTCTAATAACTTAAAGAGAAGGTCTGGTGTTTTTTTTTTTTTTTTTTTGGTCCTCATTAATGGTGAAAAATTGTGCTTCAATAATTTATGTTAATAAACAAATTTGGGAGTTGATCATAGCTTAAAGTCATGCTACAATAATTTGAATTTTTGCATTGCAAGAACGAATATCATTACATGGCCTTTAAGTAACTGTTTCGGATTAAAATGGGCCTAGAATTGTTGAGCCTGTCTGCATCTATCCGAAGGCTTTATAACCATTCAAAAAGTAGGCAAGGCCCAAGTAACAAATGCTAATAAACTATCAATATGCCAAATTGGTTTTTTTATTTTATTTTATTTTATAGTATACCAAATTGCTTTTTAAGTACAAGACAAATTCCACAACACATTATTTAGGTTTTCTAATATTGATCTCTGAGTCATGATGGTTTTATATATAGGTTCCCCAAAAGATGAATGAGTAAATTACACATAACTCCTCTCATCTTATTTTGAGTTCCAGGAAACCACCGTCAACTCAGCTACTAGCACTTGGCACCATTTAAATGCCATTTTCAGAAAGATTAATTACATCGCGGTACTCTGAGATATGAAGTAATTACACTGATGATCCTGGAGTCTGCATATCTACACAGGTGATTTTGAGATTGCTAATTGTAGTTACACGCGTAACCCTGGAAGTAGGTTGTCATTTAGACTCCAGGATCACTTGTGTAATTTAAGTAGTAATCTCAGGGTCATCTGTATAGATACGCAAATTCCAGGATTATCAGTGTAATAATTACATTATACCTCAGGGTACCCGAATGCAATCAATCCTTTAAAAAGAAATAAAATTGCTCGATGCACCCCTCTTCCTCATGAATTGAAGGGCAGAAGGGGTCTAAGTGCTAATCTGCTAGGAAATGGATTGAAGGGAGTTTAATGCAACTCAAGTACAGAGGAGGGGGTTGTTTGCAATTTACCCAAGATGAATTACGAAAGAAGACTTCTAAATCGTTTGAGTTACATCAAACCAAGTCTCTAGTTAAAAACATTTGTTATTTCAGAAAATTCGTTTCATTTACCAAATAAAAGCTTAATGAGTACCGAGTTTTTTTCTTCAGAAATAATTGTCCATTTGAATTACGGTTTTCATTTTATATTTTTCCCTATTGCAGTAATGTGACATGATGGTCTTAGACCCATTAGCCCCTTCGAAATAATAGAATTAATGAGAATTTCCAAACGCTGGTTAACTTATTAGCTGATAACAATGCAGGTAACCAGATCTGCATCTGCATGTGTAAATAATTCATTTTTCAATCACAATCATCGATTATTTAATTACAAGATAAATACCCTTCAAGTTGAGATAAAAATAAAAAGGAATAAAATCACAAAACTTACATGTGATAAGAAGTTAGAAATGTAATCAATTATAACAAGTCGATGCGAAGGAGGTTTCACTTTAATACAATGATAGGGATGTTGGGAATTTAACGCCTAAATTCCCTAATGCAACAGAAACGCAGAATAAAGAACAGTACACCAAGTTTTACGAGGTTCGGCAACTGCCTACGTCCTCGGGAGTCACACAGTCAATTTCTTCTTAATCAAACAAGAAATTACAAATCACGAGCAAATCCCTAAGCTGAGATTTCTCAAATTTAACACTGTAGCTACAGTGTTAATATTAAAGGGAATAAACCCTTTGAATTTCTCACTTGAGATTAAATAATATCCACAATATATAAACCCCTCTTTTCTTCTCTCTCTCTCTAATCTCTTTCTAATCTCCCCTCAAAACTCACAATTGAGAGCTGGAGAAAAAGGCCCAAATCGCTGCTGCGATTTCAATGGAGAGGAAAAGAACGCTGCTGCGTTTCTGGGAGTTCCGCCGCCAGAAGAAAAATCAGGGGAGAGAAGCAACAAAACCCTAGGGTTGGGGGTTCTATTTATAGCCGGGGTTGATGGGTGGGCTGGCGACAGCCTGTCGCCAGCGCACGAACTCGGACGCGGATGTGGGAGCGCCAGACGCTGAGGTCGGCACCGCTGGACGCGAGGGTCGAGCGCTCGAACGCGGGGGTCGGAGATCGCCAACTGAAGCTCGCGTTCGCCATCTGAGGGTCGCGTTCGCCTACCGAGGGTCGCGTTTGCCAACGCCACCATCGCGTTCGTCGTCGAATTCGCTGAGTCGACGCTCGCCTGCTCCAACCTGGAGCTCGTCGGAGCTTCGCCGGAGCTCCTCATCGTCGTCGGAGGTTGGTATCCACCCTAATTCTAACAATCTCCCACTTGGAGACCAAACCGACGCCAACGGGCTATCTCATCAAGCTCCTCTCCTGTGTGGCTCCGCCTTCATCATCTATGCATGAAGGCCAACTGAAGTTGCACACAACTCCAGTTTCTGAAAGGTCGCTGCCTTTGTCAACATATCCGCTGGATTCTTTCTTCCTTGGATATTCTGTTGAAATCTTTTGACAACTCGTCGGGCTCTGTATCTTCTGGAACTATTCTGCTCCTTTTTCACTCGATACACCCACTTGTTGTGACGTGCCTTCTTCCTTATGGGCAACTCAGCTAGTCCCCATGTCTGGTTGGAGATCAGATATTTCTTCTCTTCTTTCGCAGCAAACTCCCACTTGCTCGCATCTCCACTCTGACAAGCTTCATCAAAGCTTGCTCGCATCTCCACTCTGACAAGCTTCATCAAAGCTTTCAGACTCTCCTCCATTTGTCAGCAACATATAATTCATCAAAGCTTTCAGACTCTCCTCCATTTGTCAGCAACATATAATTCATGTATCTGCTGTTAGGCACAGGAGAACGAGTACTTCTCCTTAATATCGGAGCCGGTGCGTCGGGCTTCTGCGCACCATTCTGTCCAACAGTCTCTTCTGGCTGAGGACCTTCTGCATTGAGTTCTTCCGAGAGGTTATCCGGAACATCATCTGCATCTACAAATGTTGACTCGCTCTCTGAGTCACCGTCATCTGTCTTGTGCATGTCCTTGTTCATCACCTTCTCGTTGAATGTCACGTCTCTGCACCTGATCACCTTCTTGTTTTTGTTGTCCCAAATGCGGTAGCCGAACTCATCTTCATCATACCCGATGAATGTGCATTTCTTGGACTTGGGATCAGGCTCATTCCTGCCTTGATCACTACCATGCACATAAGCTACACAACCGAAAACTCTGAGATGTGAGAGGGTTACCTCCTTTCCGCACCATACCTCCTCTGGTATTCTGTGCTCCAATGGAACCGATGGACCTCGGTTGATCAAGTAAGCTGCTGTGTTGACTGCTTCTGCCCAGAACTGCTTCGGTAGACCTGACTGTATACGGATGCTTTTGGCTCTCTCTGTCAACATTCTATTCATGCGCTCAGCCACGCCATTGTGCTGAGGCGTGCCGAGCACGATCCTCTCCATTCTGATACCGTGCTCATAGCAGAACTTCTTGAATCTGGTGTCTTCATACTCACCACCATTGTCTGTTCTGAGTTTCTTTACCCTCAAACCGGTCTCATTCTCGACCATGGCTTTCCATCTTCTGAAAGCCTCAAGCACTTCTGACTTTTCCTTCAGAAAGTAGACCCATACTTTCCGAGAGTGATCATCAATAAAAGTCACGAAGTAGTGTTTCCCACCAATGGACGTGGTGGTTGTTGGTCCCCAAACATCTGAGTGAACGAGCTCTAGCTTCTGCTTCCTGGGGGCTCTGCCACTTGCCTGAAAGCTAACTCTCTTCTGCTTTCCAAGTATGCATTCTTTACACACATCAATCTCTACTGATTGTAAACCTGGGAGTTTTCTCTTTGTGTGCATAACCTTCATCCCCTTTTCACTCATATGACCGAGTCTCTGGTGCCACAGCTTTGAAGTCTGAGATTAAGTTCCTCTTCAGGTCGGGAATATACCTGACATCCTTCAGCTCCCATACTGACCCATTCAGCTTAATCTTCACTACACCTTTGCCAATAATGGCACATGCTTGATCGTCACCAAGATATACATTTCCAAGGTTTCCGGGGATATACTTCTCGAGGAATTCTTTCTGAGAAGTAGCATGGAATGATGCTCCCGAGTCCAACACCCAAGACTCCTCCTTGCTCTCCAAAGAGCATATCAGCGCATCATCTCCTCCTGAGGTGGAGGCAACGTTCACATCTGCATTTGCCTCCCACTCCTCCCGTGCACTCCTGCACTGATTCTTGTAGTGCCCGGTTTTCCCGCACTTCCAACATTCGATAGCCTTCGAACTGTTGGGATTCCTGGATCTGGACCTCCTGCCCTCTGATCCATTTCCTCTGGTTGAATTTCCACCTCTTGACTCTGTATGCAATACTGAAGAGGTTGTAGCTTCACCCGACTCTCTCCGTCGGATCTCCTCACTGAGAACCAGATCACGAATGTCGTTGAACTTTAACTTTTTCTTTCCCGATGAGCTACTCACAGCTGTGACTGTAGCGTTCCAACTCTCTGGTAGGGAAGACAAAAGTATCAGCGCCCTAACTTCCTCATCAAACTCAATATCAACTGAACTCAATTGGGTCGTGACTGTATTGAGTTCATTGAGATGATGTGCTACCGGTGCACCTTCCGCCATTTTCAAATTGAACAACCGCCTCATCAAATGGACTTTATTTGAGGCTGATGGCTTCTCATACATATTTACGAGTGCTGCCATAAGACCCGCTGTGGTCTTCTCATTCGCTATGTTAAACGCAACATTACGAGTTAATGTCAATCTGATAACTCCGAGGGCTTTTCTGTCCAGAAGATTCCAATCTTCTTCCTCCATACCCTCCGGCTTCTTCCCCGAGAGAGGCTGATACAGATTTTTCTGATACAGATAATCCTCTATCTGCATTTTCCAAAATCCGAAATCTGATCCATCAAACTTCTCTAATCTCACCTTTCCTTCATCTGCGGCCATGGCTCCCACTTGAATCTGACTTCCTCTAGATCGTTTCACGCTCTGATACCAGTTGTTGGGAATTTAACGCCTAAATCCCCTAATGCAACAGAAACGCAGAATAAAGAACAGTACACCAAGTTTTACGAGGTTCGGCAACTGCCTACGTCCTCGGGAGCCACACAGTCAATTTCTTCTTAATCAAACAAGAAATTACAAATCACGAGCAAATCCCTAAACTGAGATTTCTCAAATTGAACACTGTAGCTACAGTGTTAATATTAAAGGGAATAAACCCTTTGAATTTCTCACTTGAGATTAAATAATATCCACAATATATAAACCCCTCTTTTCTTCTCTCTCTCTCTAATCTCTTTCTAATCTCCCCTCAAAACTCACAATTGAGAGCTGGAGAAAAAGGCCCAAATCGCTGCTGCGATTTCAATGGAGAGGAAAAGAACGCTGCTGCGTTTCTGGGAGTTCCGCCGCCAGAAGAAAAATCAGGGGAGAGAAGCAACAAAACCCTAGGGTTGGGGGTTCTATTTATAGCCGGGGTTGATGGGTGGGCTGGCGACAGCCTGTCGCCAGCGCACGAACTCGGACGCGGATGTGGGAGCGCCAGACGCTGAGGTCGGCTGGCGACAGCCTGTCGCCAGCGCACGAACTCGGACGCGGATGTGGGAGCGCCAGACGCTGAGGTCGGCACCGCTGGACGCGAGGGTCGAGCGCTCGAACGCGGGGGTCGGAGATCGCCAACTGAAGCTCGCGTTCGCCATCTGAGGGTCGCGTTCGCCTACCGAGGGTCGCGTTTGCCAACGCCACCATCGCGTTCGTCGTCGAATTCGCTGAGTCGACGCTCGCCTGCTCCAACCTGGAGCTCGTCGGAGCTCCTCCGCCGTCGTAGGTTGGTATCCACCCTCAACCTAACAAGGGAAATGCCCTATTTTCTTTTAAAAAAAAAAAGTCGATGCGAAGGAGAAACACTGCACTGCGAAGAGAGAGGCTTTATCCAATTTAAATGCCAGTTAGCTTATTTTGGGCTAAATTGGGCGCTTTTAGGTCGATTCGATGTGAAGAGAACATTCACGTCATGTTGTCCACTTAAAGCATAACCAATAAGATCAAAAGATAGTAAACTTTATTTTACTGATATTTCATCCGCAACAATTATCAACAAGACACAAACTGATTACACGGCAAATTTTCTTAACAATGGTAAGTTGAAAAAAGTACAAACAGTTCAAATACAACAAACACATTTATTAGGTTACACATGGTTCCTCGTGACGTAACAAGAGAGCAATTGGCATCTTCGACTCGACGTACTACTATGCATGCAACGTACTAACTGTGTAGCGGGTGTCTATTCCTCAATGACACCTCCAATTCCTCCACCGCCACCGCCGCCGCCACCAAAACCACCTCCAAACCAGCCGCGCCGAAACCGCTACCTCCTCCGAAGCCTCCTCCAAAAGCGCACCGCCCTTTTCCGAATCACCGCCGGCTCCACCGGCCGCCTCGCACCACCAAAACCCCGCCGGAACCAATTCCACGCCACCATATTCCCCCACCCTTACCAAATCCTCACACCACACCCCCACCGATATCCTACGACATCCAATGCCCCCTCCAAGCCACCGCCCTTTCCGAAGCCTCCTCCGGCACACCCGCCTGTCCGATTCCTCACGCGCTCCAACACCGGACCAACCACCAATTCCCACCTTTGCCATACCACCAACCAATCCAACCACCGAATTCCGCCAACCCTTTCCAATTACCACCAACCAATCCCGCCACCTTGTCCAATGGCCACCAAATCCTCCACCTTTGCCTATTCCTCCCCCATTCCCTCCTCTTGCGCCTACTCCACCGCACCAAATTCCTCCCCTTTCCTTAATTCCCCCGTCCTACCTCCAATTCCCTCCCTGCCTACACCACCACCAAAGCCACCACTTTGCCTATACCACCCCAATTCCCTCCAACCTTTTGCCTATCCACCCCTATCCCTCCCCTTTGCGCTATCCCTCCTCCAATTCCTCCTGCCTTTGCCTATCCTCCTCCAAATTCCTCCTCCTTTTCCAAATCCCAACACCCTATTCCTCCACCTTTATCCTATTCCAACCACCTATCCCTCCACCACCCCGCCCGCCCCGCCTCCAACCCACCACCAAAACCACCACCCTTTCCAAAACCTCTCCTATACGCCCCACCCTTACCAAACCCACCTCCGGCACCGCCGTCCAAGCCACCACCAACCTCCGACGCCCGCCGCCGCCTGCCCTCCATAAACCACCACCTTTACCAAACGCACCCCATAACCATCCACCCTTTCCCCCAAAAAAGAAACTCTCGGCAGGATACCTTCGACGCTACTAGCTCCCTCCCGAAAACATCAAAAAAAGCACTCAAGCCAATAATCTACGAGGAAAATCGGCCTACTATGACCGCATGTGGTAAAATTTTTGTTTTGGAACGAAGAATTACGAGAGTGAGTGATTCTATATTAGACAAAATCGCATTAAATGAAGCTCCAACTGGCGCGGTTGCATCATCTGAAAAATAAAATGCAAAGCTAATATTACGTGTGGTGGGTATTGATTAATGAGCTATGAGATATCGCCGGCAGTTGGGGTGGATTTAAAGAGAAGAGATGGATAACGGATCAATATTAGGTTGCAATTAATTGATTGTTTGCAATTAATTTGGGGGCTGATGGGTGAATTAAATGTTGGCAAGTAATTTGGTGTATATCTACTATTATCGGAGACTATGAAGCTTGTTCACCTGAATGAATGCTCTCCTACAGCGCAAAATTAGCTTCACGCCGATACGGGCTGTTACGTGATGCGTGCCTTTGCATTAAAATGGCCATCTTATTTTTGAACAGCAAGTTCAACAGATGAGTGCTATATCGACCCCTTTCAATCTTCACAATTAAATGAAAGAAAAATGTATTTAGGGTGTTACGTTAAGACTGATGCATCTCTATGTCTACTAGTCTATAGACTAGTCAATTGTAATGCAGGAAACTTTTGTTGTGGTAGTGGAAAAGATCCGAATCCACTTATTTTTTTCTTAAGTAAACATGAATAGCAAATCGTTGCATTGTTAAGCATCCAAATTTAAATGCGTAACACACGAAAACTAAACCATAGCACTAGAAAAATTTGGGATTATTGAACTTGGGGTTTTGCACTTGCACATGTTACACGCCTATGCGGAAAAGCGTACTCAGCACACGGAACAAATCTGTGATCAGCGGGAGAAGAGAACCAACCACACACCGAGCACAATTCAACGCAAATACGACAAATCAATACCAAACACAGAGATATACTTTCGACAATTTGCCTATATCCATGGGGAGAGTGTTTTCAGCGAAAGTTGTTTTCCATTGCAGATTCCATAAAACTCGAGTCGTTTAAAAGATTACAATGAAAATAAAAGAAAATACAACTCATCGAAGAAAATAACACATGAAAATTGTTAAATCAACTCTGCTTTGTTGGGAACTTTGGCCTGTGCCGTGAATGTTAGTTCGTGGACCACACCGATTCGTAATCGAGAGGTTGTTTAAGGATCTGCTCCTTCGTTTATGAGTAAAGATTTGAAAACGAATATGCTATCGATGTAAGATGTCCGTTCTTCAAAGATCAAGTCTGAGCTTAGATCTCTAGATTCACCAAATGATGCTTGTTCAGAGGGTGAAAATTCTTCTTTCTTTCTCAAGAAAAATCAACTAAGACTCAGTATCTCTGCTCCAAAAATGCTCTCCTGTCCTTTAAATTCGTGCCTAGGAGTTATTATAGGGCTTCTCAGTGCATCCACAGTGAAACGGAGGCGAAAATAACTGACTGGCCGTTTTCCCTCTTTGGCCGCTGCAGTCTACACTGCCGCGGCTATTTGGCGGCGCAGTGTAAGCTGCCGCGGCCGAAGAGGCAGTTACAGCATGTTTGATCGTGCTTAAAACCGCTCCCCCACGACTTTATAACACACCTTTTTTCGTGGTTTAATCTGCTTGTCCACGTCAGCACACGTTCCTGTTTCTGTAAATGCGCACGTTGGGCTCAAAATCATCATATAACTTTTCCGTAACTGCTGGCAAACTCCTTTAACATAGCCGCGGCACCCTAATGCAGCGCGCCAAGCCGCGACACGACAAGCTGTCGCGCTTTCAGTACCCCAGCGACACGACAACTGTCGCGGCTTAAAAGCCGCGCACTATATGCTT